GATGGCTCAGAAGTTAAGAGTGCTTACTGTCTTTGTAGAGGACTCAGTTTCAACTCCCAGCACCTAGGTCAGGTAGCTCACAACCACTCCAGCTCCAGGGTATCCGACACCCTCTTTCGACTTTCTTGACACCCGCAGGTACATGGTGTACATAAATTCATTTAGGCATATACACATACACACAAATAGAAATAAATAAATAAAACTTGATTTAAATATAATTAGGAGGTAGACATCCTATAGCAATAGAGCCCTCTGGCAATCTAGTTGGCCAAAAGAGAAGTCCCACTGAAAAACATTTATAATTTTTTTTCATTCATTCAGCAAGTATCTTGAGCATCTGTCTTGTGCTAGATATAGTTGCACATTTCTCTGCCTTCCTGAAGCTTACAGTCTGTTTAAGTCAGTCCCAAGGTCCTATCCAGTTCATGGAACCACATAGTAGGAGGGGCTTGCACTTGTGAACTATTGCATCCTTACTGCACACCATGCAACATATTGGGCACCAGGAATCCAAAGATGCACAGTCCCGCCCTCAGACTGTTCTTAACCAATGAGGGAAACTGACATTTTGCAACGTCTCTTAGGGCCTAAAGGAGCGAATGCCCTGATGGATGTGGAAGACAGAGGTGACTGCTGTGTTGACTGCCAAGTCAAGGAGAGCCTGAGGAGGTGACATTTGAACAACATCTGGAAATAGGAGTGTGAGCTGCCAGAGCAGATCAGTCTCAGTGGAGAGAAGGACTCGGAGGGAGGTTGGAGGTCGTGGAGAGGCCTGCAGCATTTGGAGCACAGATTTCCCAGTGTGGCAGAAGCATGAGCAGCGAGAGAAAGGGAGAGAAGGGGGCAGTTTTGTGTCTGTGTGTCTGTCTGTGTTCATTGTGTGTCATCTATGTTTATTTGTGGATGTGTCTGTATTTGTGTCTCTGTGTGTGTGCATATGTGTATGTGCGTTAGTGTGTGCATTAAACGCTCTTGGCAACAAATCAGGCTCTCCTCTAACTCAGAAAATTTCTTACTTTCCTCATTTGTACAGTAACTTACGTGGCCAGAAACTGATGGCTGTAGACCTTGCCCTCCGACATTCTGAGCCTATAGATGTATAGCCAGCCCATGGGGAAAACATGGTTCAGAGCTGTGTGGTTTCCAAATCACCAATATCCATGTCACCTAGGAACCTCCAGTGCAGGTTCTCCAGTGCTCCCACAGATCTCCAGAATCACAGGTCAGCGGCTAGAGCCTAGCAGCCGATGTCTTCACTGTGGCTTCTGGGAAGTTCTCATGGACACTAAAGTTTGAGACCCTGGGTTGAGGTATCAGGTTTGTTACCCAGCATGGCTTTTGAGGCAGCAAAGCAAGATGATTGCCATAGCTTAAGAATGTCGCCCATGTCTTGCCATGAGCCTGCATCTATGATTGGTGGTAACCCTGCGCAGCAACACTAACACAGCAAATGCCCTAGAAATTCACACAGCCCCTTCTCTGTGGTCTGTGTGCATGGGCCTAGAACATTCTCCTCAGCACCGAAGAGCCTCCCACTGGGCTTCCTTGCCTCCACCCTTGCCATCTCCTCTTCCTCTCTCTAGGCTATCCTTTCTCTTTGGACTCATCTCTCCTTTCCTGCAGGAGAGGACAAGGGTGCCCTGAAACCAGCCAGCCTGGTTTTCAGCGCCAGCATGGCGCTCCCAAGTGTGCTCTTAACCCCATCTTCAGTTAACTTACCCCAGAAGAAAGGCTGCTAAGGAATAAACGACCCACACTGATGCCTAATGAAAATGGATCGGCGTGGGGGGGAAGCGGCACATGCTTATAATCCCGGCCTTTGGGAGACGGAGGCAGGAGGGTCAAGAATGTAAGGTGATCCTCGGCTACATAATGAGTTCAGGCCAGCTTACAATAACCTCTAAAAAAAAAAAAAAAAAACTGAAACAAAAATATAAATGAAACAAACACACAAAAAATATTTGCGGAGCTATTGCTGCCATGGTTGCTGGGGCCTCTCTCTGAGTCTCGGCTCCCCTCTGTGGATCTACCCCAGATGCAGTCCAATCTTTCTGCTCCAGGTTGGAGCCAGGATCCAGTTAGCCGATGAGCACTAAGGTGCATCTTACTTTGGAGACGTGAGCAGCAGGGGTGTTTTCAGTTGAGGGAGCATTTGCTTCATTTCCCGGGCCCCTAAGGAGTCCCTCTTAAAAATGTTCCCCCCTACTCTCTGGCTTAGCTGCCACCTGCCATGTTGGCTTCTCAGGACTGCAGCTTCGCAGAGACTGGCAGTTATGTGCAGGAACTCGGGAGTCAAAGACCCTCCTATATCCCAGTTCTGCAGCTAGCCAGCCACGTGACCTTGGGAATGCTTTTTGATTTCATTATCTGTAACATGAGGATAATGTATCTACTTCTTAGGGTTGTTGGGAGGAACAAATGAAGTGATGTGTGATGTGCCAGACGGGGCAGAGGAACTTGAATACACACATCTCAGCTACACTGATTCATGGAATGAATGGCTTTGGGCTTGGAAAGAGGCTGCAGCAATGTTTGTCGAGAGAAAACAGCCCAGGTTCATGGTTTGGGTGTGCTCATTGTTCTCGGGGTCATCTACCATTGGATTGTCCTTTAGTCCTGCACTTGGAGGAAGCTGAGAGGTCTTAAGTTCCCAGGGTTCACCATGGTTACCCAGCCAGCCCCCAGAACTCTTTTCCTGGCCCCACCCAAAGAGGAAGCCCACCTCATTGCTTCTCAGAGAAGAAGGTGGACTCAGGAGCAGGTGTGCTAGCAGTCAAGACTTGCTCCTTATAAAATCCATCAGGGATGTGCCTCCTTGATAGAGCTCCCCCCCGCCCCCGCTGGGTACTAAGTGGACAGTGCCTTGGCATCCAATAACAGTGGACTCCCCCCAGATGGTCTTCTGGCCCCACCTGAGAGGCAGGCAGAAGCAGCCGGAGCTCAGCTGCACTTATCTCCTGGCACCTGGAGGAGGAAATGAAGGCGCAATTAACTGTACAAGGCGGGTGGTTTGTGCAGCTTAAGTTCAGATAAAAAGTTTAATTATCCCTAAGCCCTAATACAAATTAATTAGCCTCCCGTATTAGGGAGGTAAGCTTCCCTGCTCTTGCCTCAGCCCAGACATCACTGTGGATTACTGAGGACATGCTGAGAGGGGGGGCAGGAAACAGAGAGCGGTGAGTCCTGGATGCCCCCCTGTGCAGCACAGACAGGTGACCCCATGCCGGAGGGTCTAGGTGGAGTCCTGAGTCCTGTGCCTAGAACATTACCTTTGTTTTACATTTTATTTATGTTTGTATATTTATTGGGGACCAGAGCACACAGGTGGAGGTCGAGAGGACACCTTGATAGAGTCATTTTTCTCCCCTACCATGAGAATTGAAGTCAGGGTGTCCGGTTTAGCAGCAAGCCCCTTTACCCACTGAGCCGTCTCACCTGCCCCAGGAGAGGCTTCCTTCCACCTCTAGTACCCACCTGCCTGTCCAGGGGGGTGTTTTGGTGAGCTTTTCCATAGCGCTCTCTCTCTCTCTCTTGAAATTCCACAGATAAAACAGGCCACATGTTTCCATTGGAACTCAGAGAACTATTACCAACTGTACCCCGCCCCCCACCATGCGTGGCACACGTGCCTGGATGGACACTTGCCCCTGTCCGTCATGGTCATTATCACAACACCCCTTGGCTGTTAAGTGACAGGCACACTGCCTCTGTATCGCCACCACACATGGCCTTCACACGTTGCCTGAATGTTCCACAAACATTTCTTGAAACACATTGAGCAGGGGTAGGGGGATGGCATCCTTAGGTTTGCATTTGAAGCACATCTTTGTGTCTCAAAGGAGAAAGGAAGTAGACATAAGAAGTCATATTTACAGGCCTTTGCCGAAGTCCAGTCTAAAAATAACAGTGACCTGAGCCCAGGACGTACTTGATAAACACCTGTGAAGACCGAGCACCTTCACAAACAGAAACTCGTTTACTCCACTGTTCTACAAATGCCAGGAAGCCAAGGAAAGAAAAGGCAAGAAATATGCCCGAAGTCGGCAGCTAGTAGCAAAGCCAGGAGCTGAGCCTCTGGCAGGCAGGCTGGCACTTGGGACCCATGCTTTTGACCACTACACCATATTGCTACTACTGAGGGCACAGAGATAGGACGGGGAAGAGGGAGCCAATTCCTGCTGAGTCCTTAGAGCTCTCTTCCCAGGCCACCGTCTCCCTCAATGCCACTTACTCCTGTCTTCTCCTACCTGGGAGGTTGGAAGTAAAGGACAGCGGAGGGCTATGGGAAATAGACCTGTCTAACCCCAGTATTCTGCCTCTTGCTACTCAACTGACATGAGCATGGTCTTGTCCTCTTTACACTTAGGCTTCTCATCCCTGCCTGAGATGGCGGGTTACCATGAGTCCCACAGGTGCGGATAAAGTCGTCCCCAAGCACAGCTTCCAGTTTAGCCCCACCCCCCAACCCTTCTCCCCAGACCCACTCCTTCAGGCAAAATGTTCCCATTGTTAACAGAATATTCCACAAAGCTCTCCACCCTAGCGTTCTCTGTGTGGGATTCAGTCAGGCAATTCTATAGGCATGTGAGGTGCCTGGCCTGTAACACAGCCTGGAGATGCCATGGTATGCATCAGGAGTGGAGGAGAACAATTCTCTGGACCACCTTCTTGGGATCTGTTCTCCTGTCAGTCCAGCCTAAGATGCCATTAGGAGTTCAGAAGCTATCACAGTGATGGTGGGTGCTGGAGCTAAATTCCCTGGTGATTTGCTTTTTAAAAAAATATAGATTCTCATCAGCTATGTAAGTCATTGATTATTTGAATCAAATTCTGGTGGCATCATTTATCTTTGTTAAATTAATCTGGCTGATTTCACCCGTGATTACAACCTGTTAAAATCTCTTTGACTCCTAAAGACTCTATTGCATAGTAACTCTGCCATTTAGAAATTTGAAAAACTTAAGAACAATCAGTCATGGCAGCCTCTCCATTATCATCTTTATTGGATCCAAATGAACGAAGAGTAAGCAAAACCGCTAGTGAGCCGGATCATGTGGGTGGGGCCCGGATAGATCAACTGAGATGTGGTGAAAAGTCAAGGGTACAGCTGGCCCTCAAACCCAGCGAGGACCACAGCTCAAACTCCATCATATTCCAGCTTTGATCTCCTTCTGTGCTTCAGCCTTTCCCTTCCTAACAGCAATGCGGTGTTTCCCCACAGCAGAAAACATAGCTGCCAGTAGCTCCAGAGAAGCTTCAAATTTCTTTAAAAGAGATTGGTGTGGTCCCAAAGGTATAGTCTGTACAGTCCAAGAATGATCGACAATAGCCATGCTTTGGGTTTTGAATGAATGCGTCTATCGAGCATGTAGCAAGCAAAAGGAAAAGGAGTAAATAGCAAGGAACAGGTAGGTTGAAACAGCGGATAGATGGCAAAACAACATCAAATCGAGTGAAAAGGCAAACAGCAGGTAAATGCGTCAAATCGAGGGCTTACAAACATCCAGCAGAAATTGACTGGGAAAGCTCTGTTGAGGCAGCTGGCTGGAGTTCTTGATTGAGAGAGTCCTGGACAAAGCAGAGTGTCCCCTCAGGTGAGGCTTCCAAGTAAAAGAACAAACAGCAGCAGAGAAACAGCATCATCACATTGAGCACTTACACTCATCCAGCAGAAGCAAACTGGGGAAACTGAGGCAGTCAGCTGGAGTTCCTGACTGAGAGAGTCTTGACGGAAAGACCTTTCCATCTTCTCCGTGGATGGGTTTCTGATTCCTGTTCCCACTGTATGCATTCTATATTATGGAATAAACAATAACATCCTCGGTTGGAAATAACTTATCTTCTAGCTGATCTCAAAGACACAATGTTTTAAACTCGTTAGCTATTTTGGTGTTTTCTTTCTCCTTGTTACAGAGTCAGGAGAAGGCAGCCTGCCCTAGGACAGAGAATTTTGTAGAAGACAAGGGAGGGTTTCCTCACTCCCAGAGAATGCTTTCAACAAGCTTAAATAGCATATGGCAATATACTGTGAGGTATACTACACGGTATGATAACGGAGAAGGTAGAAAGATGCCAGCATCCGAAGCTATCAGGAAAATGCAAGTCAAATCACATTGAGATACCACCTCACACTCACTACAGAAGCCATCATCACAAAGACAGAAAATAACAAGTGTTATTTTAGATGAGGACACGTTGGACCCCATATTCATCACTGGTGAGGTTATAAAATGTTATTCTGTGCAAAACAGCCCGGCAGTACCCCACGCTGGTAAATATTACCATGTGACCCCTAGCTCATGAAAACTCAGTCATGAAAAAGTTAATACATGATTGTTCACCATTAAGAAGACGCATCCTTCATAATAGATAGAACATGAAATCAACCCCATTGCCTGTCAGCTGATGAATCAGTTAACAAAATGTGACCTATCCTCACAGGTGAATACGATTGAGACATAAGAAGGAGTGAAGAGGTTTTGATACATACTAGCATGTGGTTGGTCTTGAGAATGCTGAGTAAAAAGAAGTCAGACATGTGTGGTTCATGGGTGAAACATCTAAAGTACAGACAGCTACAGAGACAGTATCAGTGGGATGTGGATAGTCTCAGACTGCTAATGAATGTGTGGTTTTGGTGGGTTTTAAAGATGTCTCATGGGTGGGATATAGGTCAATGATAGGACGTTTGTACAGCATACAGGAAGCCCTGGATTCATTCTCTAACAAGCATACACACACACACACACACACACACACACACACACACACACACAACCAGAACTAAAAAAGGAGGAGGAAGGAGAAGGAGAAAAAGAAGAAAAAAGGAAGGAGGGAGAGAAGGAGGAAGAAAGAAAGGAATGAAAATCTTCTCATTAGGGACTTCCGGTATAGCTCGGTGGTAGTGCACTTCCTTAGTATGTGTAGCCTTGGATTTGCTTCCTGGTCGACACAAAATTACCGTGGGTGGTAGAAGCACAGCTGGGTAACCACACTAGAAGCTGATGAAATAAACAACTCACATAGTTGAATGTTATAGTGTGTTAATGTATCTCAATAAATTGGCCAGAAGTAAATCTAGGGTGGGAACTCACTGGCCCAGCTTAGGGAAGATACTTTATATTGAACTTGCTATGACCGGAGGGAATGAGAGCCATGTGCCCAGTGTGTGGTTGGCAGCTTTTCTAGACAGAGTTCATATCATATTGTTGAGTGAAGGGCACAGGGTAGACTATGAACAGAAAACCAAGTCTACCACACTATTTGTAGACAACTTACATTCACCCAAGCATGAAACTAAACTTTTTTTTTCTGAATTATTATGAGAGTTCTGGGGATATGAAGCCCATTCAATAGGTGGTGTCAGTGGTACAGGCTCCGTTAAATGTTGTCCAGGGTCATTTAACTAGTTAGTGAGTCCTACTGGCCCAGGATATAAACCCAGGTCTGATTCCAGCTCTCCTCTCAATTATTAGGCCATGCTGCCTCCCTCTGGCTTTATGCAAGTTGCTGGAAAATTCTGGAACACACCACTGGAGACTTGACTTTAGATCCCTTCTTTATTTCGTTGATGTTTACTCCTTTGCTAAAGGAGGTCCTCCCAACAGAGCTGTGCGCTTGCTTTGCTGGCCTAGGAGCACCATTGGTTATCTTGAAAACGTGCCAGAAAACTGGAGATGGTCACTCAGACCCTCCTAACCACTCCTCCAACCATACCACTTCCTCTAGCTTGTCAAGGACGTGAAGAACTGGGGCAAGACGGCATCCTGCAAAGTCTTGACAATGGGCCTCTAGCCATCCCCTGATCTGCCAGCCGGTTAACCTCACTCTCAAAACAAGAAATAAGGTTAAGTTGGCAAGAGGTGTGCATAACAAACCAAACACAGCTTATTTTCCAAGTGTTCACAAGCTGTCTGCTTAATAATCTGCTTTTGAATTCTGCCAGCAATCTGATGGCAGAAGTGATGGATGCCAAGCCCATTGGTCTGTGGTTTCTCGCTTTAAAAATACCAACAAAGCAATCTTCCACCTCTAGTCTCTTGGTGTCTCTGCTGTGCTGTGATCAGAGATCACAAGCCGTGGTTCTGCTGCCCCCGCTTGTGCTCCTATCTCCAGAGTAGGGGCCGTGCACACCTCTGATGGGAATCCACTGAGTCCAGCTAGGCACTTGCCCACTCTCTCCACCCCCCAGGCTCCAGGCTCCAGACCCTTCTGATCCGCATCGGTCCCAGTCTTCTCCAGATGAAAACGCATTCCTCTCAACAGAGAAGGCAGAAGTGCCCGGGAGTGGAGTCACTCTGTTTTCTCCCCAGACCATCTGCCCAGCAGTGGGCATAGCTCCCCCTACCCTTGTTCTTTCTTCAAATGTTTAAAACAAGCACGGTGTTTTACTTAGCATTTTCACCAGCCTCAGCCACTCTCCAGTGCAGCCTCCCGGACTCTGGCCTTCCGTCCCTGTGCCATCCTTAGTTGGCACCCACAGGTACCTTCAGTCAGTCATATCGTCTGAAAACCTCAACTAACATGACCTTTTGCGTGGAAGCTGCTTGTCTCCATCACTGGAGTCGTGTGGATTTGAAACAATGAACTGCTTTGAGAGCCCCTCCCGCCCCCCAACAGAAATCATGGTTTCTAGAATGCCTGCAGAAAAGCTAGTGAGTTTAAAGTTCATAGGCTACACGTGTCACAGTGAGATCCTAACATTGGTTGCTCATGTTATTTTTACTTTATAAAGGGACCAGAGGCCCAAAGACATAACTGTCCAAGGTCACACAGTTATTTAATGGAGGCCTAGGAGGGTCTTGAACCCAGATCATCTTAGTAAAAAGCAATCTGAGCCCTCAGCCTCCCCGCTCTCCTGAGTGTTAAGACTGAAGAGGCAAATGTGGTCACAAAAGGATCAGAGCAGGTCCTAATGGTAGTGTGTGCCTGGGAAGCTTAAGCCAGAACCCAGGTCCCTGAACAGTGAGAAGGAAAACAGTCCCCAGAGACTGCTTCTTAAGGTTTTGAGGAACGTACATGAAGTCATTCGTTTGTATATTCATTCACCCAACATTTGCCCTGTCCACAGCCCTCCAGTGTTCAGGTAAGGACCTTAGGCTTCCACTGTAGCTAACCTGTCTCCTTCCACATCCTCCATGGAAACCCAGGACACCTGGGTCCCCTAAGAATCACTATTTTTAAGTTTCATCTTTTTAGCAGCAAAGAGTCCTGGACATGCTAAAGCTGTTTCTGCTACAGACACAAAGGGCTTGTGGCTTTGGCCAAGGATGTTATCCCAGCTCTTTCCTTCATAAGGCCTTTAAGTTACCTCAGTAAAGAGGAGGCCAAACATAACTGCTGTGGAGAGCATCTTACTGATTGCAAGAAGGAGGCTCTGGCCAGCCTGCCAGGCGCTGAGCAAGGGCTGGGACATGTTGGTCCTGAGGTCAACAGCCAGCATGTGAAGCACTTGAGAGAGCTCCAAAGAAAATTGATTGTCCCTCCCTCCCTCAAAGCCATCAAATGTCCATATCTCCTCAGTTAGGGGGGACTAGCTTGATCTCGTGGAGGCAAACACAGCTGCTGTGAGTTCATGAGTGCTGCCATTCTGTTGCAGCCAGAAGACTTCAGTCATCCCCAGCCTCTGGGTCTTACAGTCTTCCTGTCCCCTCATCCATGACGATCCCGGAGCTTGGGAAGGAAATACGACATAGGTGTCTCATTAGTGGCTGAGCACTCCCTGGTCACTTATTCTCTGCACTTTGACCAGTTGTGAGTTTGTGCATTAACCACCATCTACTCACAAAGAAACTTCTCTGATGTGGTCTGAGAGCATCTCTAATCTATGAGTGTAGAGAGAAGAATTTAGAGAGCAGTTTGATACTATGTCCATTTACAGAAATAATAGCAGTAGGTTCACATCTGGAACCTGTGAGCTCCTCAACCATGAGTTCTTGGCCAGATTTACAGTACCAGGCACGTGCTTTCCAATTTGTGCTATCCATATGCTCTCCCCTGGGTTGTGGTCAACCTACCAGGAGCCATAACAGAAAGCTGACTGTCCCTCCCCACCAAAAGCCATCAAATGTCTATAACTCCTCATTTAGGAGTAGGGACTCATCGATCAGGCCTTAAACCCAAACAAAAGTTCTTGGTTACTCGCGTAACATTCATTCTGCTTTGATGTCCATGGGCATAGTTTGCCGTGCTGGCCATTATTGCAGTTCACAGAGTTCACAGCTGAGTAAGACTGTTATTGACCATGTGCCCCTCCCCCCAGGAGCCTGCATGGCACTTCCTAGTCCTATGAAACTGGCCAGCAGGGAGGAAGCTTGCTGGTCAGTACCGACTTGATTTCTCCTTGCCCTATGACCAATGTGTGTGGTGTCTTCAGCAACAGAGTCTTACCAAGTTCTGGTGCTCAGCCAAGAGCAATGGTAATAAGCTGTGTTGTTTGGGGGCGGGGGTTCCAGGACACCCTTGGCTGACAACTCAGGGGAAGGTGTCCTACACCCAGCACTAGGTTTTTTATTTGGCAACTATAGTTTCCATTAACTATATTAATCCCTATGCAGGTAACGGCAATTAGACTTTTTTGTATGAGATGTGTATATATAAAATAGTAGGTTGCCATATCACTTCTTCAACCATCTTTGGAGTCAGTCATCCCTCTCCCACTCCTCCTGCCCTACCCTTTTATCCTTCTTCCCACTTACACTTCTCTTGATGTGAGTCCCCTTCCCCATCATATCTCCTGTGTTGCACTCTCCTCTCTCCCTGGAGATCCTTCTTCCCCTGCCCCCCACCAGTGGTCCCTTTCTGGTTTTCTGGGTTCTACAGATACTCCAAATTAAACACAAATCTAAGATTTGATGCTAAAACCCATAGATGAGTGAGAACTTGTAACATTTGTCTTTCTTGGCCTGGTTATCTTTTTACCACCGAGTTTTTCAATGTCACATTTTCTCATGTGTGGTCTTCCTTATAGAAACTCCATGAGCATACAAGTTTTGCCTCTTTTGCTCTAAGGTTGTATCACTGGCCCGTGTAGATGCTGTGAAATGTTGATGAGTAAATCAATGAATGTGTGAATAAGTGAACAATTGGCTGAGAAGCCTCACTTGTTTCCCAAATGGCCCCTTACCTCCTTACATCCTCTCTCTCCTCCCCGCCCCTCTCCCTCTCTCTTACAGATATGGAGACATGGTGCCTAAGACCATCGCAGGGAAGATATTCGGCTCCATCTGCTCCCTGAGTGGTGTCCTGGTCATTGCTCTGCCAGTTCCTGTGATAGTCTCCAACTTCAGCAGGATCTACCACCAGAACCAGAGAGCAGATAAACGCAGGGCACAAAAGGTAAGCCTTAGAAGCAGGGTTGAGGGAGAGAAGGAGAAAGCGTGGGGGACTCAGGCAGGCTTGCTGGGCCTGGATTCTTTGGAGGATTCCTGCCCAGACACTCTCTGGCTTGGAAAGATAAGGCAAGTTCATGTCCCTTTCTACCCACCAATGTCCTCAGTTCCAGCCCCAGTCTGCTGCTTCAGAATGCAACAAACTATCACTACTGACACATGATTGGATTGTCCTTTTAAGTAGTCTATTGAACTGACCCATGCTCCATTTCTTCATGCCCAGCCATGGCCACCAAGCAGATCCTGGTTCCTCCTTTTCCCATCCTAGAGCTTACCAGAAAACAAAATGTCATTTTAATATCCTGTTGAGGGCCTATACAAAAGCAAGTGACAAAAATAAATGTGCAAAAAAGAAAAATGACCAATGTGAGAGGAGAACACTCTGTGGCCGCTACGTTCTGGGTCAAGTGGAACATTAAATGTTAGTAGACACCAGGGTGCCATGTGAAGTCACAGAACTCAGCTGATGACTGGAGAGTCAGCATCAGGCTTGGGGGGAGTTCTAGGTTCTGCCAAGTCTGTACTTAGGATGACAGGTAAGTGAAATATTGTCTGCTTATACAGAGCAAGATGTCTGTCTACAGGCTGGTATGCTCAGAAGCCTCTTTTGCATTTGGCCTTCAGGCTTCTCTCTGGGACAGCACAGCCACACCACCAACCCCCAGGCATCTTCCAGAGATGGTTCCTGCCAATGACTTTTGCCGGGATCCTGTATTATTAACATTTGCACTGCTGTGACAAATGCCTGCCATATATAATTAAAAGAAATAATTATTTTGACTCACAGTTTCAGAAGAATTAGTCTGTCTGCTTGGCCCCCCCCCAAACATCATGGCAGCAGGGGGAGCAGGTGGTGGAGATGGTTCCTCACCTTCTGGTGGACAAGCCACCAAGAGGAGGGAAATGCCAGCACTCGGTTGTCTTTCTCTTTTGCCTTTTGTGTTTTCATCTAGGCCCACAGCCCACTCACATTAAAGTGGGTCTTCCTCGGTTAATTCTCTAGAGAAGCGCCATCACAGACACTCCCAGCATGTGTGTGCCTCACCAGTCTCCTAGGTGATTCCAAAGTCAATCAAGTTGGCAAAGACTAGAAGAGAATCTGGAGCCGGGGGTGGGGAGGATGGGGGAAGGGTTGTTTCTATTTCCCTTTCAATCTGGGCTGAAATGGTACCCTTATTATCTCAGCCTCTGGAAGTCATGATCAGAGTCTCAGGTACAAAGGACAGAAGGGCACCTTGTTGGAAGATTGGCTTAGACACAACAAGGATTTTGCTCTCTATTTTATTCTTCCTTCCATCCCTTCACTTCTTCTACAGACATTTATGTAAGCACCTTCCATGTGACAGGCCCTGCATCTAGATTACTTGCTCGCACTTGCAAGAATAACCCCTGGGTAGCCGGGCCCTAATACTGGACAAAGTGGTCTAGAACCTCAGGACAGGTCTGTGTGGACTGACTGTAACAAAGCCACAAGTTTAAGCTAACTCTAAAACAATGGTTGCATAACAATTTACTTAGAACAGTAAATAAATAATCATATGCCAAGCCTGCTTGGTCCCCAAATCCCGAATATGACCTCTTGTGTGTATCACCTCCACCTTACCATCCTACACCTGTGCCTGGTCTGTAATGTTGCCAGCCGTAAGGTCCTTCTTCTGACACCCTCTGTCTCCTACAACATCTATCTTCTATCTCCTCACCCAAGGTCAAGGTCTCCCCACTCCCAGACACTCCAGAAATGGAAGTCTTATCTCTCTCCCTGCTCAAGTCAGCTGGTAAATGTGAACAATGACTAAATTCATCACACAGTTCTAAATAAAGAGGCAGAGAAAAACCGGGCTCCCATATCCAAACTCTGAGGTCCAGAGGGCCAGGGAATCCTGTGGCACACTCTGCCCTCACATCTTTTAAACCTGGGCAAGCACAAACTCAGGCTTTTCACAGAGCTGCTAGGGTTCTCAGACGTGCGGGGCTCAATGGTCACAGCCCCTCCAGAGGTAGCTCTGCCCTGCAGCCACCTTCGCCTGCCTGGCCACACCACTCCTACTTCTCAGAGAAGCTCATCTGCGAAGAATGTAACAGTGAATGTTTCCCACAAGGTGTATAAATCCAGAAAGGCCAACTCTAGCTTTCTCCTCTCTCTGAGCTACTCAGGATGAACCCTGCCCAAGCCCTCTTTCTCCTTTGAAATAAGTAAATATTTACAGTGTTTTCCCTAGCCTGGATGCCGTTTCTCCTCAAGGTTGCACAGCTCTGTCTCTTTCACCTTGGGCTTCCTGTGAGAGGAAAAAAAAACAATACTGTCTGCTTCCAGCACTCAGTCTGTCATGGTGAGCCAAGGCAAGGCGGGCGGGCCCAGGGGACTTGGTGAAAGTGGAGAGACGGGACAGGGAGGAGGTCAGGAAGGCTAATGATAGTCCTTGGCTCTGACCACCTTTCGGGGAGCATCGTGGACATCAAAGTAAGCTCCAGCTCAGGTGCCTTGTGGATAAAGGCTCAAAAGAAATTAGTGTTGTCACATCTACCCGTGGGGACTGTCTTCCCTAGGCCAAGAGAAGCAGAGATGAGTCAAGGTTGTCTAGCAGAGACACCTGGGATGGGGCCTAAAGAAGCCACCACCTGTCCCAGCTCCACCCACAATTTTTGGTTTCAAGGGAGATTGTTTAGTTTTGCTTACATTTTTATTTTTGTTGTGCTGGGGGATTAAACCCAGGGCCTTGTGTGTTCTAGGCAAAAGTACTCTATCCCTTGACTATGCTTCCAGTACCATATCCTTTGTTTTTAATGGAATATTTTATTGTAGTCATTAAAAATTCACATGTAGTTGCATGCCCAGTTTTGTTTGAACCATTTTATAGAACTATCCAGTGCACAGAGGGTATAAAGGATATGAAGCCACCCCTTACCTGTCTTCCCTAGATTGCCCTAGTTCTTCGTGTGTGTGTGTGTGTGTGTGTGTGTTACAGTTTCCTCACCCATGTGGGTTCCTGCAGATCCAACAGCTTCATGACTATAAGACTAGCCAGTTCCCACATGAGAGCCCTCGTGGCCTTTATAACCACACTCCTGCTGTACCTCTACTGGTTCCTTACTCCTGGGAACTATTTGTCTGATCTCCACTTATCAAATGTTTTCATTTCAGAAAAGTTACATAAATGTACTCATACAGTTGGCAACCTTTGGGAGTTAACCTTTTTCATCCATATAAGTCCCAGAGACTAATTCAAATTATATCATGAATTCCTTATACCAGGCCTAGTGGTACAGTGATTCCAGATGCTCAGGAGACTGAAACAGGAGAATCATAAGCTCAAGGTCAACCTGGGATAGAGCATCATTCAAAACCAGCCTG